TTGTTATTACTTTGTTTTTCAAGCTACAATATTGCTTTCTAATCTTTTACTTAACACCCATTGCCTAATAACTAGCATAAAGTAGATCACGTATTTTTAGAACCACAAAATCAAATTTAATTATTATTACCATTTTGACGATAAACACAGGCTATGGAGATTTCGACTTGGAAATGGGAAATAATCAATATGGATTTCATCGTAGGCTTACCTCGTACCCAGTGTAAGTTCGATTCGATATGGGTGATTGTTGATAGGCTTACAAAGTCAGCCCATTTTTTGCCCGTTAGGACTACATATTCCGCAGAGGATTATGTAAGGCTTTATATCAAGAAGATAGTACGACTGCATGGTGTCCCTGTATCTATTATCTCGGATAGAGGAGCTCAATTTACAGCCAATTTCTTAGTACAACATTTCATCCCCAGATAGACGGACAGGTTGAGCGTACTATTTAGACACTAGAAGATATGTTAAGGGCTTGTGTGATAGACTTCAAGGGTAGTTGGGATGATCGTCTGCCGCTTATCAAGTTCGCATATAATAATAGCTATCATTCCAGTATTCAGATGGCTCCATATGAAGCTCTTTACGGACGAAAGTGTAGGTCGCCTATATGGTGGTTTGATGTTGGGGAAGCTACTTTAGTAAGACCAGAGTTGGTACGGCAGGCAATCGAGAAAATTACGTTTATACAGGAAAGGCTATTAGTAGCTCAAAGCCGTTAGAAGTCTTATGCGGATAATCGACGGCGAGACTTGGAATTTCAGATTGACAATTGGGTGTTCCTAAAGGTATCACTGATGAAAGGCGTTATGAGGTTCGAAAAAAGGGGAAAACTTAGCCCTCGGTACATTGGACCATATAGGATCATGCGCAAGGTAGTACAGGTAGCATATGAGTTAGACTTACCTTTGGACTTGGAGTCTGTATATCCAGTCTTTCATGTGTCTATGCTTCGTAAATATATCGGAGATCCTTCCAGAATTGTGTCAGTTGACGACGTTCAGGTCACAGAGCAGCTACCATATGAAGAAACTCCCATTGCTATACTAGACAAACAGGTTCGGAGATTGAGGACTAAAGACGTAGCTTGGTAAAAGTACTTTGGAGAAACAACAATGTGGAAGAGATGACTTTGGAGGCCGAGAAAGACATGAAGTCTAGATATCCCTACTTATTTCCTCCTCCAGAGAAGGATCCGACCGAGACCTCATAACCTTAAGGTACGTGTATGGATTCTTGTGTCAGTTGTTGTCATTGGTCGTGTGAGGCCATTGTCGTTATTGATTATTGTGGTCCTATATGGCGTTGAATTTTTGAGTTTTTACAGGAAGAGTTGGTAGTAGTATTGTTACAAAGGCGACTCTGCCAAGGTTATATAGATCCCGGAGAGTTAAACATTCGAGGACGAATGTTTCTAAGGGGGGAAAGATGTTACATCTCACGTTTTCGTACGTTAAAATTTTTGTCTTTAGTTAATTGACGTAGACTCGGAGATGAGATTATCTTGAGGTTAACGTATTTATGATATTTATAGCAAGCGATAAGTAAGTATCATGAAGGATAAAGGGTACACGAATTAAAGAAAATGAGTTTCGTTGAAGGTTGCCATTTTGGAATAAAATATGGGTCGAGCGATAATACTCGATATTTATGGACTAGTATCATACAAGGTACCATATAACCGTGATAGCATGATCTATAAAGTATATTAAAAATAAGTAGTATTTTTAGGTAATTTGAAATAATTTTTAATTACACGGGTTATTGATTAGCTACCGAATAACGGGATATTACCTAGTTAATTATTAAATTATGAGAATAAGATGTGGCAGTAAGGGAGCTAACAAAACCAATGACTAAGTAGTCATATGATATTAGTGGCTATCTAACATCAACTGTAAAACACTCAAGGTGTATATAAAGTTTGGTCTCTTTTAAAGTTTAACTCATTTTGGTTAGAGAATAACAAACTGAAATATAAGTCTTTCTTCCTCATTCACAATATTCAAAAGCAGACGCTAAGATCCATCCGAATAGAGGCTTCCAACGAAATTCTTACAAACAATTCCAATGAGAATTGTTTGAACCGTAGCAATGTAAAATTTTACGGTTTTAAAGGAGTACGGTACAATTTTTTCCAAGAATATTGTATAAATTTTTGCCTACTCCAGATATGTTAAGGCTATTCCTTCTTTCTTTTTGGCATAATCCAAATAATACAAATGAAACGAGCAAAATACGCAACTTTCTTAAATGATTCTATTCATAAAAATACTAGGGGTGTCTATATTCTCGATTTCCCATGTGAATTATTATTATATCTTTTGTTCATGGGTCTCAGAAAAATACGTATTTGACAAAGCTTATCCGAAGGGTATATTGATTTTTATAGCATTCCGAGAAAATCTTATTAACGAATTTCTTATGCATTTTACGCATTGCATTCATTTATACTGACCCATGATCAGATGGTGTTATATACGCGTATATATGTATATTATATTTATATAGGATATGGAAAAAAGTTACGGCGTTATATACGTATTACCACCTGATCAGTTGGTATATGTTAATGATGTTTCCCACAATGGCCGAGACGATATGATGGGATGCTCTCAGAGGCTTGATGATATTATGTACACCTATACCTATGCATGACACGACATTTATATGCACGTGCATGGCATTATAAATGTTTCAGAATTTACAAAGTTATTCAGATTTACAGATGAATTTCTTTATTCCATGTTTCATTTATGTCTTTTACGTACTGATTTTCATGCCTTACATACTTAGTATATTTTTCATACTGATGCCCTATTTCACGGGGCCTGCGTTTTATGCCCGCAGGTAAGTAAGATGACGGTCCCCATTCTTAGAATCCTTAATCAGCAAGAGTTGGCGTGCTCCACTTGATCTGAAGCTACTTTTGATTTTGGTATGATATGCTATATATATATATATATATATATATATGGGTATGACGTGGCTCAGTCCCGTCTTTGTACAATTGTATTTTTATTAGAGGTCTGTAAACAGTTATGTACAGTTGGATAGTATATGACCTTGTCGGCCTTCAGTTTTGGGTATATAGTTGTCTATAACGGCCTTATCGGCTCGCCCACTGTAATACGCACATATATGTATATATGTCTTTTGGACAGATTTTCCTCGCACATATTATTCTCATAATTCAACAGATATTATTTATGTTTATATCTTAGTCGCATGCTTAAGGGTATTCGACAGGTAGGACTCGGGTGCTCTTCGCGGCCAATCGGTTTGGGTGGTGATAGGTACTTTTGGTAGAGGCTATCCTCCCAGGCCGTTTCAGTCAGCGCTTCAGGCATCCCACGGTTGGGTAGTCGTGGTCCATATGTATCTCATCTTGAGCAGTTATCCTACAGTGCACCATCAACTCCTATTAGTGCACCTCCGATCCAAAGTTATCAGAGTGGTTATCCAGGTCCCCATGGCCAGTTCCAGGGTCAGCAGTCACAGCAGCCGATGGCTTGTTATGCTTGTGGAGATCTGAGGTACCTTTCTAGATTTTTCCCCAAAGCGCAGGGCGGCATGCACCAGCAGGGTTCTCATGCCATAGTTCTAGCATTGGTTGCTTCACCGCTAGCTCAGCCATCTAGAGGCAGGGGTCAGGCTGCCAGAGGTGGAGGCCAGGCCATTCAAGATTGAGGTCAGGTCGTTAGAGGTGGAGGCCAGCCAACTAGAGGTAGCCCGAAGGGCAGAGGTCAGAGTGGCGCGGCCCAGCCCCGTTTGTATGCATTCCCGATTAGGCCTGAGGCCGAGTCATCTGAAGTCGTTATCACATGTATTGTTCCAGTTTGTCATAGAGATGCTTTAGTTCTATTTGATCCGGGCTCTATTTATTCCTATGTGTCATCCTATTTTGCTTTATATCTGGTTGTGTCTCGTGATTCCAGATGACCAGTTCTGCCAAGAGATGGTGGAGATATTATGTGTTGACTAGACCAGCTGGTTCACCTTCACTTACCTCGGATCAACTTTCACAACTATTTCTAGAAAAGTTCATTCCTTTCACTCTGAGAGAGGATTAGCCCAGGCAGTTTGAGCGCATTCAACAGAGTAGCATGAATGTTACCTAGTATGAGACTCGATTTGTAGACCCCGTGATTCTTTGAGTTCTCCTGTATATGTGTCTATTCTTGTGGGAGATTCTATTATTGTATGCTCGTGTGTGATTACTATTGGGAGTCTTGAGACTAGTATAGATCTCCTACTTCTTGATATGGTAGACTTTGATATTATTTTGGGCATGGATTGACTGTCACCGTATCATGCTATATTGGACTATCATGCCAAGATGGTGACTTTAGTCATGCCAGGGGTTGCCTCAATTAGAGTGGAGAAGGGCTCCTGGTCATTCTACCAACAGGGTTATTTCTTATGTGAAGGTTCAGTGTATAGTTGAGAAGGGATGCTTAGCTTATTTGGCCTATATTCGTGATTCTAGTACGGAGGTTCCTTCCATGGATTCGGTACCAGTTGCACGAGAGTTTTCAGAAGTATTTCCTGCAGATCTGTCGGGGATGCCACCCGATAGAGATATTGAATTCTGTATTGATTTGGCTCCGGGCACTCAGCCCATTTGTACATGGATATTTTTTCCTTTTTTTGAATTTTTTTTCAAAAATGTGTATGTCCATGAAATTTTGCAAGTTTTTAAAAAAATTTCGAAATTGAGTTGTTCAAAACCACTTTTTCAAAATTTACTGTTTCTCCGCTCACAAAATTGCAACATTTTTTCAGGTGAAATGCATGTCCATACATAATTTGAAATTTCAAAAACCATTTTCAACTTAACTCCAAATACTAGTTTTTTCAAAAATTACAACTTTAGTCCAAACGCTACTTAGATTAATTGGGCGCTCGAGTTAGAAAGAAAAAGAAAAAAAAAACATTAATGTGAGGCCAGTATTATTCCACTTTGAAATTTGTGGTAATAAGATAACCAGACATTCCTTTCATGCACAAAACTTTAAGCTCTCAGTCTTCAGACACCATGAAAATACCAACCACTAGAGGCTTAGCTACAAACTCTGCAGCTCCATTCTTGAGCAGAATCTCAACATCAACTTCAGCACTTAAATGGGTTCCTCAATATCAGCCTTGTTGGGTCGAATTTCGGGTTTCTTTATCAAACGGGTCAGCTCGTTGCACTAATTCATCAGTTCATGCGTCATCCCCTGCTATTCAGCCGGACTTCGATTCAAACATACTGCATATTCCAAAAGCAAAATTACAACTTGTAGAGGAAACTGTAGAGAAGGTGAAATATGGTTTTTCGTTTGAATAAGTACATCCTTTTGACCATTTTATGTGATGAAGTTTGTCTGAAATACAGAGTTTAAACAAGAAATAACAAAAGTAAAATGAAAAGTTAAAAATATGGGTGTTTTTGGTACGGAGAAAAATGTTTTCCATAGAAAATATTTTCCTAGAAAATATTTTTTTGGAAAATGAATGGTTTTATCACTTATTTTCTTATATTTAGTTGGTGAGGGAATAACTTTTTTCCGAAAAATATTTTCTGTGTTTGTTTAAAGAATAGAAAATATGTTTTAGAAAAATAATTTTTTATGCTATTTTCCTTTATCCCCTTTTCCCAAATCTCCATAAAAAAAATATTTATTTTGTTGAAATGAAAAAAGAAAGTACTTTAAAAGAAAATATTCTTAATAATATTTCTATTTAGTGTGGGGTAGGGTAGGGTAGGNTTCTTCGTACCAAACACACCCATTATTTTAAAATATAGAAATGTTATTCTTTTTTATACGACAAATTAAAAAGGAAAGTATGTCACATAATTATCATCATTTTCTTTTGTTTTTTTCTTTTCCTTGTAGGTTATATACAGCAGTCGGTTTTTTGCTATTCTTGCAGTCTGGGGTTCATTGATTGGCTCATTTCTCTGTTTTATTAAGGTATTATTTTAATATTTCCATCATTTTATCCTTAATAATTGAAAATCTGATTCATTTGTTTTTGTTTGGTGAAAGTGGATATGTAGTTTGTGATTTTAAGAGTGATGCCTAAGCTGTACTTGCGAGCTAGTTCAAGCGGTTCAGTTTTTTCACCATTGTTGCAATTTGGAACCTTAGATATTCTCTTCTGTCGTGTAAATGCTGTCCTATTTTGTATATTCAGCAGCCTGGACTGATAACCTGTTTTAAAATACACAAAAGGGAAAAAAGAAGAAGGTAGTGATGACCTGGAAATCTGGTGTGGTTAATGAATCAAGAAAAGAATAAATTATTGTAAGATCATTGATTTGGATCAATCAAACTTGTCGCGGGACAAAAAAAAAGTAGAAAATTAATCTTGAGATTGTAACCTTTTAATACCCCAGCTCTATGGGTTAGAAATGAAATATTGGATGATCCTCACCTCATAAGCTAGCTTTTGGGATTAATTTAGGCCTAACAAAATCAGAGTGGTATCAAAGACAGACATATCAACTCTTGTTGTTGTGTTTCTCAATGTTGGGCCCCCATAATCCACTTTCCAGATGAGTCCCGAGTGTGTGTGTGTGTGGGGGGGGG